ACTAAAAGTAAAATCTAAACTATCATATACCTGACGTTGACGGTGATCTCGTACACCTGGACGTGCTGGTCGGTGGCACCTCCATCGCGGTCGTCGGAGTCAAGCTTTCAGCGGTGGAAGGGTGCGGTGCCACGATAAAGTTTCGCGGTCGTTGCGTGGCGCTCGCGAATTATCTTCTCCGCTTGCTCTTGCTTCGCGCGCAATGCGGTTGCGGCGTGGGCAGGAGGGAGGCAAGCGACGGGAGTTGCCGGAGGCGGGGCTGGCGGTGGTCTCGCTCAGAGACCACACCTCCCCATACTTCGCCATCTCCTTGTCGTGGCGGCGGAGACGATGCCTGCTGGTCTCGGTCGTGGTCTTCGACCGACCGATGATCCAGGTCATTGCGAGCTCCGGGTGTCGGAGTTAAATCCGTCAGATCTCGGGTAGGGGGCCCCGAGCTGGTGATCTTAACTAGATGGTAACAGGATGATAAGGAGAGACGATGTTTACCCAGGTTCTGGCCATCTCGAAGAGATAAAACCCTACGTTCTGCTTTTGTTGTATCGAATGGGTTGGATTACAAAGTACATGATGATCTACCTCGAGATCGTATGTGATTTTCTAATTCTCTATGCTATATTCTAAACCTCTCAGCTTATATAAGGACCGGGGGTATCTAGGGTTACATGTAGGCCGGTTATATCTAGGGATAAACATGTCAAGGATTCAAATATGTCTTGGAGTACGCGCTATAAGTCATCAAAGGACTCCATATTGAGTACACCTTGGGGTATGGCAGAGGAGCGACAGGGTGTACACCAAGGCCCAGGACTTTCCCATCACCGGTGAGTGGAGGAAGAGAGGAGCGGCAAAGGTGCGCTGAGATATGGAGTGGAGAGTGCGTTGTGGGCTTGGATGACGTTGACGAGGTGCTTAAATAGTCGTGGCTAGGCGAACAGGCGGTCATCCCGTTTTAATACGGCGCAACGACCGAAGTTGGTTTCTCGGGAGGACGCGTCCACACTGAAGCGGCGTGGCTCGTCTGGTTGCGTTCGTCAGCGCTACTCTCCCGTTTGGGTCACATCATGTGACATCAATGCCGATGTTGCGGCTCTGGTCGGCATGAATGTGGCGATGAAAGCGGTGCGATCGTCTGAGAGGTAGCATGGGAGAGAGTTTTGTTGGAAATATGCCTTAGAGGTAATAATATTGTATTATTATATTTCCATACTCATAATTCATAGTTTATATTCTATACTATAACTGCCATGATTCCTGAAATAAGTGATTCAGTGGAAAACTCATATGCACGTGTGAAATGTTCAACGGTAAAATTAGGTTACTATATTTGTCTCTAAGACTAGCTTAAGTGTAGTTGGTGTCATGTTTTCCGAATTTTAGAATATTGTTAAGTGTAATGATAGTCCTAAGACAACATTGAGAATATGACCTTGAAAGAACGATCATATTGAATCGACCCAAACTTGTTTGTTACACTTTGAGATTATATCGCCAGATGTCAATTTTTATAACACTAAGTGTTAACATGTGTTTTAGTTGCTTACACCATCAGAGTATCATAGTCGCTTCTTACCGTACTGTAAACTTTGAGGTTGCTCAAACGTCATATGTAACACGGTGGTCATAACGGCAACTTACAGGTTCATCAGAAAGTTTGACAAAGGACTAGATAGCTCGAGAGTGAAATTTGCTCCTTTGACGATGAAAATATATTCTTAAGGGCCCTCTCGATATGATGACATAGGTGACTATGTCACAGGGACCTGAACATGTCAACGAGAAAGTAGAACAAAACCGATAACAAAGCCGAAACATGTCAGATATGACAGAATCGTGGGCACTTGAGGCGATGGTGTGCAATGAAGCTCTATCGTTGGCATCCGATATTCCATGTCAGTGGTTGGTCATCGCCACGTACTGCGCAAGGCAGCGCAGCTACCGTGAAGCATGTCAATGGTATTTACAAAGGGTCATTAGATGCTATTATCAGATATCAAGATGAAGTTTGAAAGTTCTGTCTCGGTAGAAATTATTCACGAGAAGCCCCAATTAAATGTTGAAGCACATAAATTAGCTAGAGCCACACTACCTTACTCTTCAAGTGAATCTAGAGCATCACACTTCAACATAAATTAGGTGTTGGGAGATATGTTTGGAGAGACCAGATATTATTGTAATCCCGTTGAATATTTTGATTGAATAGTAAAGTGCTTCAACCCCTCAAAATAATTAATACCTCCGTTTTAGAATACATTGATACTATCCACGGCCTAAGTGTTGACCTAGAGAAAGATAGTGTAACCCCGCAAAAAAGAAAAGAAAAGAGAAAGATAGTGTACATTACATGAACTCTACACTGCAAGCAAGGAAGTATGATGCTCTAGATTCACTTGAATGTGCTA